AAAAAAAATCGAGATCTCACTTTGAGGTCCGAGGCTTGATCCCTAAGATCTCACATCAATTCGAGAAATGAATTAAATTTTTTTATAATAGTGTAAAAACCTCTCCCCACTAGATACGTTTTAAAACTATGAGACTGAAATATCTCATATTAATTGGAGAGAGAAACGAACCATTCCGGTGTGTAAACCTCCCCTTAGTAGACGCGTTTTAAATTTGTGAGATTGAAATCGATAGTAACAGTCTAAAACGGATAATATCTACTAGCGATGAAATTAAGCGATTTTAGGTTGCTTATCACACTATGAAGAATGTAGATCAAAAAATCCATAACAAAGTCTAACTGCAATGACGATGACAATCTTCACACACGAGTTATAAATGAAAAATAAAAATAAAATTTTTAGTTTCATAATTACTTTAATCACTAGCGCACGAGATTAAGTTATAATTTTATTTTTAATTAATACGGATAAGATCATTACAAAAAGTTCCCTCTTAATCACTTTTTAACTAAGTTATTGAGTTTAAACAAAGGAAATAAAAGCATTATTCCTTTAGGAATTACAAAAAACAACTTTTTTTTTTTTTAAACTAAATAAATATTATTTATTTAAGAAAAAAAATCTTAAAACCACAAGTAAATCATGAAAAAAAAAAATACATTATTTATAGTTTTTTTTTTTAAAAAAATAAATATTTTTTTTCTACAGAGAAAAAAGGGAAAAAAAAAGGTGGGGTTTGTTTGTCGTGTAGCTGTCTTTTAGACCCATTACAAAATGTCACTTTAAAATTGTGGCAGGCAGATGCTTTGGTTCCTTCCTCAATTAATTTCACTCATAAATAAAACACATACACACACAAAAAGTAAATAATAATTGCACCCAAATATTATCCATCTTTTTCTTTTTATAAAAAATAATTAAAATTCCAGTTGCCTCTAATTCTTTAATTATTTTATTTTATCAATACATCTCATCATTCCTAATTTTTCTGAGAAAGAATGAAGAGAAAACCCTAGCTCGAGTGGACGTCGGCATGTAGCTGCCTCTACATAAGACCTCATGATGACCCAATTGAGAGGGTCTCGAGCCGACAGTAAAGTACGTATGAACGAAAATAGTATAGAATTATTATGTTATTCGTCAAACTCAATCTGTATTTACACACGACACGACTCTATTATGTGGACGATGAAAGAAAAGGACCATTTCTCTTCATCCTCCTCCACTATCACCACCACCACGAACACTATGGTTTCGACACGAGTGGCCCCCCTATGGCCTTCACTTGCTTCCTCGATGGATAAAGGTACTTTAATTTTATATATATATATAAATAAATAAATAAAGAGAGAGAAAGATAGAGAGAGAGTGGATGTCAGCATCTATATGCGTTAGTTTTGATTGATCACGTAATGCATGGGATGCATGGGATGATGTACCCAAAAGAAAAAGCTTCAAAAGAGCACTGCCAGTGCGGTCCTTCTTTTATGTTGTCTTTGACCCAGTCTCCACGTACCATCCCCACTCGTTCCATGAATCGTTATTGTCAGTTTTGCACCGTTTGATATATGAACATAAAATTTACGGAGTACTTCTTTGAATTTGTATCAACTAGTTGTTAGAAGACGTGCATATTTTGAAATCAACATCCGATGGTTATTTTTGATATAGTCATGTCGAATTGTTTTTCCACTGATAGAGACACTACGCATCGCTTCATCCTTGCCGGTTTGGTCTGACTTGTTCATGAATGTTTCGATCTAATTCCACTTGTTCTTAAATCTTATTATGGTCAAGTACACGGCAAGTACTGCAATAAGCCAAACTCAGAATTTATGGTTTGGTCGATGATTAGTTTATTCTTTTTCGATACTCGTTTCTAACTAGTGCAGCTCAAAATCATACTCGTATTAATATGATCGTGCACATACCCGAAGCACGAGTTTTACTTTTTGTATTTGTGCTACGGGAGCCTTTCTATAATCTAGATAGAGTTGTTGGCTATTGGGCCGTTCTTTTATGGCCCATTTATTTCTGCTTGATCCGTTTTCTACTGGGCTATGGCCCAATATCCGAGTTCATAGTTTTGGGTCGGTTCTTATGGCCCATTCATTTCGGACTTGATCCATTTTCTACTGGGCTTCGGCCCAATATCTGAGTCAATAGCTTTGGACCAAACATAACCTAATCCAACCAGCGTCCAGAGTTCAAATCTCTGTAATTTCTTTTTATTTATATTTATATTAAATTTTTAGTAGTGTGTTGGTTAGCTTCATATTAATATTTGAAGCTTGACATAGAACCACCATGGTGGGTTCAATAACCCATGTTTTGCCTTCAATCTTCTAAATATTGGTGATGACTGTTCGGGTTCAAAAAAATGAACCCAAACCAACCCGAAAAGTTAATCCAACCCAACCCAACTTTTATAGTTCGTGTTGGATTGATCTGAGTTGTCGGGTTGAATGTACACCCTTAGTTCTAGATCTCAGCTATCATCTAAAATTTTAATGGATTTCAATGGTAGTGAACTTTTAAGAACTATCAAAGGTAGTATTGTAAGTTTTAAAAGAATAAAAATATTTTTAAGACAATAAACAAAGTTTAAAGGATATTTGTAATTATAGCCATATCAATAATAATTTTTATACAAAAAAAAAAAAAAAAAAAAATTANGGTGTTGGATGATGAAAGTCCCACATCGGCTAATTTAGGGAATGATCATGGGTTTATAAGTGAGGAATACTAACTCCATTGGGATGAGGCCTTTTGGGGAAGCCCAAAGCAAAGCCATGAGAGCTTACGCTCAAAGTGGACAATATCATACCATTGTGGAGAGTCGTGTTCGTCTAACATGCTGAATGGAGTAAGAACAGAGAAGTCTTCCTATCACCTTCCTCATTATCTATTTTGTTTCTAATTACTGTGAAATTTCTCATTTATTATTGTTTGGATCGTAACAGAGATTACTCGAGAAGTTTATAGAGATTATATTCATAACATGTAATTTAGGTAGATTGAATTTGCATATATAATTTTTCTCATTTATTTAAAAATAGTTATTTTAAAATTTTCATTTTCCATATAATTTTTATAAAAAAAAAAAAAAAAAAAAAAATTATGAAAATAATTAAAGAAAGTTACTTCTATGCTAAATACAAAATTTACATCAAATATTTTATAATCCACTATGTTCAAGTAACACTTGTGGACATAGACTAAAGAAAAAAAATGTTTTTTTCTTTTTAGTAGAAGTCGAGCATAGTGGATAAAAGACCAATTATCAATACCTGTGATTCAATCTCCGCCCTGAAAAAAAAGACAAAAACGTGAAAGGAAGATTTTGATTTACTAACTTACAATTAAGCTTTAAGATAAGTTTAAGACCTATGTAATGAAACATTATCAAATCTATGCCCTGAAGGAGAAGAAGCTAGAGGAAGAACCTGTGAAGAACTTGAAGAACACTGTGACATTTGATGATATTGAGGCTTTTTCTCATTTGTACACCAAAACCGGTTGTTGTCGTTATCGTCGTCATCGTCTACAACTATCATTTTGGGATTGGAAATGGCTTTAGTTTCAGAATTCTGAGCTGACCCACCATTTTTACAGGCCTTATGCAGAGCTTCTTCAGTTAATCTTCTGTACAGTTTCTCTTCTGCCTCCCTTAGGAACCTAAATTTTGAAGGAGATGAAGGTAATCCCATGTTCAAATCTAATTCTGCTGATGATTCAAAGAGAGTCAGAGTGTTTATATTTAATTCAGGGTGTTTGAAAGAACTGAAAGGGTTTAATGGACATGGTGCTTTCAATGGAGGAGAAGGCAAAGGGGACACAAAATGAGACATATCACTTAAGCTTCTTGCTCTCGATCCCTTCCTACTTCTATCTTCAGACTCTAAATCTTCTTTGGTTTCCTCTTTAATGGACCAGAGAAAGCTCTGTGGCCCTAAAAGATTATGCAGCCTCGCCGGATTTAACCCCCCCGCCGCCCCATCTCCTCCACCTGACTTCAACAACAACAAATCCTTGTTGCAGCCATTTTCAATCTCAGATTCTTGATTTCTCAGCTCTGAATTCATTTGATTTCCTCTAGAATCGTTGAATTGCAGAGGAGAAGAAGAAGAAGAAGAAGAAGAACTCCTTTTCCAATTCAAACAAATATGGCGAAAGGATTTCTTTACATATTTGGTGAATTTATCTTCATCTACTATAGTGAATCTTCTTTTCTTCCACCAAAGAAAATAGAAAAGCTCTGCAAAGAGAGCAAATAGAAGGAATCCAAAAACAAAGCTCAACACAATTCCCAATCCTTTGAATGAATCCATTTTCCCCAAAATTGAGAACAATCTCACATCTCCACCATTACGTATAAAAAAAAAAACCTCAAATCTCAAACTCCTCAAACTTTTTCTCGATCATTTAAACACTCTAACAGATGAAATAGGAAATCCACAATCTAAAACCCCAAAAGCAGGACCAGAAAATGTTAAAAACCCTAAATCCAGCACTGTAACTAGCAATAAAGCATAAAAACAGCGTAAAAGAACCAGCAAGAACGGATAATTACAGCAAAACAATCACTTCGTAATCTGTAATGGAACAACGAGTAAACTAATTCCAGCAAGCTCATCCATAGAGAATAACGCGTAAGGAAAAGGGAAGTTACCTTTAAAAAAGCCAAAAGAACGGTGGAGCGGCAAGAATCAACAGATTCGAACGAAGAACCAATTTATATTTTAATATGAGAAACCATCCAACAGATAAACACGAACTAAAGCCACAGAGATTCAACTAAGAAACGGAAGGAAAATGAGAACTAAGAAGCAATTTTATATATGAATTGAGCGCGGTTTGTCTTTTGGGGGAATTTTGGAACAAAATGGATGCACCTCACACGTGTGGGCTTGGTCCAAGCGTGTGGATTTTAGTTCAATAAAGTTTTTCTTTTTTAATTATTGTATATAAATTTTTAATTATAAGTTATTTTTTAAAAGGGCAGAGTTGTTGGGCCAAATACTTAAAATGGGCCAGAAAAGAAAGTAAAAGCCCATGGCCCATATTCTACTTACATTTACGGCCTTGAAAAGGGCAGAGATGGAAGAAATGAAAATAAGCGCCGTCACCGCTAGTAAGCGTCGTCGGTATCTTTAACCTACTCCACAATAACTCCGTCGAAGCTAAGCGGTCTGATTAACGGACACCGTTATCGCTGTTCTCCTCTAACTCTGTCACTTCTCTCCTTCTCGGCTCCGGAGGGCTTTGGATTGGATTTGGGGGAGGATGAGCGCTGTCTTTGCGGTGTATAAAAGGGGGCTGTAATTCTGAGAATTTGGATACCCATCTCCAAATTTGAATCGCTTTTGATATCTCTAATTTCTCAAACTCCATACTTATTGTAAGTTTTTTTGTTTCGTGTTCTTGTTCTATATTCATCGGAATTATTGATTCTATTTTGCCTCTGTTGTTGGGATTCTGCTATCTGCAAGTTTATTGTTCATATCCGTCTAGGTTTTCGTTTTATTTTCTTCTATATTCATCGGAAAATTTTCAGAGGAGAAATTTTCAATTTCGATTGTTGATGTTGTGGTGAAATTTGGTGGTGAAAAGTGTTGATTGTAGTTACGTTTGATTTTGTCTGGGAATCTGGATTTGTATGGATGTGTTATGAGGTGATAGTTTAGAATTTGGAGGAGGCTGGAGATAGTTTGTTCTTGCTGAAACTTGGGATTCTTTGAGGGTTAAGCGCTGAGAGAACATGGGAGAAGATTTGCTAACAAGTTTATCCATGGAAAATCGCCATCCATCTACCTTATTGTCGATGGATTCAAGTTCTATGTCTCATGAAGAACTGAAGCGAGAGTTTAAACGGCCAATTGTTCTTTCCCGACCCCCCGACATTAATCTTCCTCTTTCAGCTGAGCGCAGTCCTCCTCCACAATCCTGGAAATCAGAGCCTTTTGATATGTTGGATGTTAGTCTAGGAACTCAGATTAATGAAACGGATGCTCTTCTTATCCTGCCCAAAACTGGACGCAAGTTTTCCAAGAGATTAGATAGTGTGTGGGGTGCTTGGTTTTTCTTTAGTTATTATTTCAAGCCTGTGTTGAACGAGAAATCGAAGTGCAAAATCGTGCACGACGGTAATGGAGTTTCTGGATATGACAAGTCTGATCTAGAGCTTGATGTGTTCATGGTTCAGCATGATATGGAGAATATGTATATGTGGGTTTTTAAGGAAAGGCCGGAGAATGCATTGGGTAAAATGCAGCTTAGGAGCTATATGAATGGGCATTCTCGTCAAGGCGAATGCCCTTTCCCTTACAGTGTCGATAGGGGGTTTGTTCGGTCTCATAGGATGCAACGAAAGCATTACAGGGGCCTGTCGAATCCTCAATGTGTGCATGGCATTAAGTTCGTTCCATTGCCGAATCTTAAAGGTCTCGACGACGAGCAGCAGAAAAGATGGATGGAACTTACAGGGAGGGATCTTAACTTCTCTGTCCCGCCAGAAGCAAGCGAGTTTTGTTCATGGAGGAACCTTCCCAGCACCGAATTTGAGCTGGAAAGACCCCTTCCTCCATTGAAGACCAACTCCCATGCTCCTCCTCCGAGAAAATTGTTAAATGGGACTAGTTTTAACCTGTCAACTCAACCAACGAGCCATGTAAATGGTGGAGGAATGGATCTGTCGCCAAAAGGAAACAAGCGGAAGAAGGATGCATTTCTACATGGTAATGATGAGGATTATTGTTTGCTCATTAACCAGCCTAATGAGAGAGTTCAAGATACAGAAATCCATCCTGTTGAGCCTCCGTGGTTAAACGATTTCAGTGGGGTAATGAGGAACGTATACGGTCCGGTTACAGCTGCGAAAACTATCTACGAGGACGAGCAAGGATATTTGATAATCGTTAGCTTGCCTTTAGCCGATCTAAAACGGGTTAAAGTGACTTGGTGGAACAACCTAACTCATGGGGTTGTAAAGATAACATCAGTGAGCAGTGGCTGCATGCCCTTTGTGAAAAGAAACGACAGAACATTCAAGCTCACCGATCCATCGCCCGAACACTGCCCTCCCGGAGAGTTCATAAGGGAAATTCCATTGCCAACCAGGATTCCAGACGATGCGAAGCTAGAAGCTTATGGAGATGAGACGGGTACTGGTCTAGAGATAATGGTGCCTAAACATCGCGTCGGTCCAGAAGAACATGAAGTTCCTGTTTGCCTTCGCCCTCATCTCGGAGCAAACGAGCTCGTGTTATCTTAAAGGGTATTGTTGATTGTCATTTTCCAGTGGTGTAGCAAACGAAACAGATGATTTTTGTGAAATGTAAAGGGAAAATATGTTTTAATCCATTTTCCTTTGATTTAAATACCAAACATTATGATCTCCTTCAGAATAGACAACAGTTCCTGCTGGCTGCTGATAAATGTTTGTGCTCTCTGCATCTTCAACTGATAACACTAAGCTTAACTGCAACATTGAATCTTTGTTTATACAATCAGATTCTAAATGCATTGATTTGGTTCAACTGCTACTTGATGATTGTATTTTCCTTTCTTTGCAATGGAAGTGCTATCGTTGTTCTTGTGTCCTGTTATGAAGGTTTCTACCATTTTTGAGCTTTAGAAAGAGAGAGAACGAAACAAAGATGTAAAAATCTCTCTCTAATAGACGCGTTGATATGTAACAAACCAAAGAGAACAATCTGCTAAACGATAATTTGAGTTGTTATATACCAAATAAAATCCCATCTCGATTAAAGAAAGAAAATAGTGAAATGAGTATATACCAAATAAAATCCCATCTCGATTAAAGAAAGAAAATAGTGAAATGAGTATATACCAAATAAAATCCCATCTCGATTAAAGAAAGAAAATAGTGAGTATTTCTGTAAGTACGTGTAAACATCTCACCTCATCATCATAAATTTTTTAGTAAAAGCATAAATAATATTCCCATGGAAAGTTTGAATTTGGGGTTGCTTTTAAATGATTATGTATATTTAAAACAATTAAATAATTCATGAATTTTCTAATAAAGATAACAATTTAAACTTTAATATTAAATAAAAGAAAGTGGAATAAAAATATAACATATTAGATTATAAAATCGATTTTTTTATTGAATTAAAATATTTATTATATAATGTATTATAAAACAATAATTATACGTATTTTTTTAACATGAAAAAATCCATAAACTAATTAATAATATTTAAAAAATGAAACAAACAGAGCTAGAAATAACAGATTTATGCATATTTGTTATTCGGTTGAAGAAGAAGAAGAAGAGTGCGTAATTCAGTTCTGTTTTGGTTGATTCACATGGCTACCTATCCGCACCACCATTCCATCAATGTCCCGTACATATCCTACTCTCTGCTTCCACACTTTCGCCTCCGGCTGGCTCACCACCGCCGCACCATTCTCCACCGCCCTCTGAAAACCACGACAAATCCAAACAACTTTCTCTCAGATCGGTAAATTCCGGCATCGAATCAATCAATTGAAATACAGGAATCAAAATGTGGCTCCAATTTTACCTGATAGGCCGCATCCACATCGGGATAATCGATACAGATCTCGATAGGGTTTCGTTCGCGATTGGAGGATGGGATTTGGACTGCGCCGGTCAGATCCTCTGTTTCGTGTTGGTGCAGAGGTGTGAATGCAATGGTAGTTCCTCCGCTTTCGAGCTCTCCCCACCTGTATCGAAAATGAAGCGATCTTTCGTGATTCGTTATGAATTTTATCGATTGTTGCAGTGATGATTTAGGGTTTTGATTACCTGTTGGAATGATCGAGGCGGCGGACGGTGAAACCGAAGGCTTTGGAGTAGAAATCGACTGATTTCGCGACGTCCTTGACGTAGATAATCGTGTATGCGAAGGCTGGCTTGAGATTGGACGACATTGTTAATGGATTGAGAGAGCACTGAACTATGGAGCATGGTGAAGATGATGAAGATGATTATGAACGCGAAGCTAATTTGTTTCAGGGGACGATGGGTACACGTGGACACCAACGTGGATTGGGAATATGTACACGTGGAACTCTTGCATGTTGTTGATCGATTGAATGGTGCCACGTGGTATAGTATATTTAATATAGCTAAAATTAATAAAAATCTAGTTGAAGTTTATATTGTTTCAAAGTTCTAACTTAAAAATAAAATAAAATAAAAAAGTATTTACATTTTTGTATATTTTGTTTAAAAAAACTATTGAATTTTCTAAAAATAATTTTTTGTGAAGTTTATTAATGCTCTTAAATTAAAAAAAAAAAACTAAAATTAAATAGCCAGTCTAACGAACCCAAAAAAATAGGAAAATAAGGCGCCTAAAGGTCACGTGTACGCATTTCAAGCTTCCCGCGTGTTCCTCGTCCTCGTAGCTCACTCTCTCCTCTCTTTGATCGTCTTTTCTCTCTCTGGTTTTCCAAATCTCCTCTCCGGAGAAATGCCGTCCTCCGCTCAGAAATCACGTCAACATTTCGCTGGTACTCGTTTTCCTTTTTCCTTAATTCGTTGTTTTTGATTGAATTGTGAACATTGAATTATCTGGATGCTTACTTGACTTAACGAACAATGATGATCTTGTTGTCGATCAAATTCCGTCTTGCAAATGTTAACGTGAGAGTTTGTATCGTTCGTTGTGCGTATGTTTCCGGTTTGTTCGTGTGCGGAAATAGGTTTCTAGGGGAAGTTATGTAAACAATTGCCAGGGTCTTTGTAGTCCGTTTTTTTTTTTGGATCGTCATCGATTTAGTTTTTCTTTCTACATTTTTTGTCGTTCTGTCAGTGTAAATGCATTTGATCGTCTCTCTCTTCGAGTCAGATGTGCGTGTGGTAATTTGATTTCGATTTTGCAGGTTGACAAATTTTCGGCGATGTTCATTTCTGAAGTCTGTACAGTTATAGTCCTTTCACGGATTCTCTACGGATGATACATGGGGATTTTTTTTTAATGGCGGTTCTTCCTTATTTGTGGAGGATCCCGTAGTTTGTAGCAATTTCAGCAAAAAGGATAGCCGATCATTTTGCATCTTCAAACAGTTCTCTTAAGTGAAGAACTGCTTGCAAATTAATAATAATTTTTCAATGGAAGACACGTTACCTTGTTCGGGATCAGGCATGATATCTGAAGTTGATGTTGGTGGTGGAAGTAGAAAATTTAGAAGGTGCTTTATTGGTGTTTCTCACTCAAAAGCATTTTCAAGGAATGCTATTCGGAGTGTAACTTCACTTAGACAGAGCAGAATTGCCAATGGTGCTGCTGGTCAGGTGACATTTTTCTTGCTCAAAATTATTGCGCTAGAGATGGTTCGAAGGTTCTCAAAGTCTAGGTGTCCTTTTGCTTGGCGAGGACTTCAAGCTCTTCAGGTTCTTTGCTACCCTCCATTTAAGTGGATTCAGAGATGGGCTCCTTTCAGCTGTTTAGTCAAAGGCATGCAGGTCTGTGCTGTTAACTTCTTGATTTATTATGACCATCATGTCGTAATTTTGATGCACAAGCCTAGCTACTACTTGTTGAAATGTTCACTGGTCTGTTATGTGAGAACAAAAGAAGTTAACTTGTGCCTTGAGGAATCAGCCTCAGTAAGCAATAAGCATTCCTATATCTTCAAGTTCTCTGCTTATTCTGGCCCTCACATCATTTTTTGTGTTTACTTGTATGTGCAATGTGTGTATTAGGCATGTTCTCTTTTATGTCTTGATAATGGTCATAACCTGCTCCTTGGAAGTTAATTCTGTAGACCCTTTTCTCCATTTGACATGATGGTGAGGAGTGCTTACCACAATTGGTTCGTTTCAAATAATGGTTCGAACGTGGAACTGGATGCTATGCTAATTCATGAAATATGAACTGGAATCTAGTTTCTCCTTCTTAACACAAAACTTCACTTCCTTGCCAATATTACTCCTGCAAGCATGTGCATGATCTACATCCTCCAGTAGCTTTTGTTAAGATGGCAAAAATTGCAGATGTAGTCACCTGAACTTTGGATTACGGATGAATGATTTCTGTTCTTACCGTCTTAAACTCTTAATATATACCATTTCTTCAACAGATTTTATATTACCTTTATTTTTCCAGGTGTTGTCAAAGCCATTACTTGTACTATCAATAGCAACATCGCTCTCTGATCGGACAGAGCCTATGGGTGGAGACTCAGATGACATCAGTGATTCCCCTTCATATTCTGAAATGTACTCAGAGCTATCCTCAGAAAACTCGTCTACAGATGCAAGGTACTGTAATGAGATGGCACCAGGGTACTCAGAATTATTCATGTATTATTTTTTTTGCTCTTGATCTTTGATATCATTCTATTACCGTTTTTTTTTAATTGAAATGCCTCATTATGTATGTAGGGTACTTAATAGTATGGTTTTACAATATATTTTTATTAAATAATGTATATAATTTCTTTTTAAGGTTAAAATACCATTTTTATCCCTGTACTCTGGTTCTCATTCATTGTCTCTATACTTTTAAATGTCTAAATTTAGTCATTGTATATTCGATCAATCTTAAAATTAGTCATTATTAGTTTGAGGTTGATTGTTATCAAACTTGAGATAATAAGAATATTTTTTTATTTAAGAAAAGACACCAAGTGAATATGCATCCATAATTTATAGTGGGAAAGCTTGACTTTTTTTTTTAAAAAAAAAAAAATGGAATGTTAACAATGAACTGTTAGTAGGGAATAATTTTGAAATTTATTGGGAGTACAATGACTGAGTTTGAATATTTGAAAGTACATGGGTTAGAATAGAAGAAGTCCTGAAGTACAGAACAAAATTGATATTTTAATCTTTATTTAAATATCAATATTAACATTATTTTATCATGTACGTGAATTCTATAAATCCATTTTGATTCTCCACCCCACCGCCCAATCGACAACACACATTTTTATTCCTTTTCAGGTATGTAATTCATAAAATTATTTCAGTGTTCTTTTTATCACAAATCTTGTGTATGTTTAAGGTTTTGACGTCTAAGTATTAGAAAGATTGAATTGTAGCCTGTTTAAAGTTAACGTGATCCTTCCATTATTAATTCCAGCAATTTTTTATTTCTACGATTTTCTCAAGATTTTTGTCAACATCTTGATTCTTGTTGTAAAATCAGTTCCATTTCCGACATTAATACTCTCCGAATGCAATCTTCTATTTTCCATTTTCCAACATTTCATGAATGCCCATCTCTAATCAAATGTTGATTATCTTTTGTTTAACTTTTGCGTGTTTTCGGTAATCTCTATACTCCATTAACTCTTAAATAGTACACATAATTTGCAGCGCTTGTGATGAGCCTCCACAAAACATTGAATCTGAAACTTTGTCTGTTCGTCTCTCTAAAGAGCTGGAAAGTCAGGGTTTCAATTTGCCAGAAAGGTAATTTCTGGTTTGAATTGCTGGAGATTTTTGTAGCTGTTGTCGGCTGAAGAGGCTTAACTGAAATTTTAGCCTTAAATTTTATGACTACGAGACCTATGTTGATACTAACAACTACCAATGTTTTATCGTATGAGGTACCATGTTTTATTTGACTAAAACTTCCATCTATCGCCAATTAGTTACTCTTAGTTGCGCTCTCTTAATGCGTGTCCACTTGGTTTAGCTCGACAGCGCGCATGTAGATGGTGGTCGTTATTAGTTGGATTGTGCGTGAATTTGTGGGCTTCTCTTAATGCTCTTGTTATCACATTCTTATTTCGTACAGACTTAACGAAGAGGAGCTTCAAAGATTCTTTGCAGCTTCGAATGGCGACTTTACATCTTTGTTATCTTCAATTAAGAAGACAATCCGCTGGAGAGAAAATTACAAAATACTTTCATCTTTAGAGCTTGACATGTGGTCACACATGGTCTTTTGGCATGGATTTGATCTGAAGCCCAGACCTTGTCTCATAGTACGCCTTGGGCTAGCTTGCATGAACTTGTCATCTGAAGACAGACCCCGTTTTATCCAAGCCATTGGTATGTCTCTCAATTTTATCAACAAACTTTAGAGTTTTCTTCCATGCTAAAGATCTTGTTCCGATTGAAACTTCACCATTGCTAAATGTTGATAATATCGATCTCGTAGTTTCTAACGAGAATCTTGATTGTGATAATTTTCTTTTTCTTTTTAACAAAAACGGTTTAGCATTTGGCATCACCCTTGCATTTAGAATGTGATCTTCTTTACTTACTATGATCGCTATTTAGCGTATTGACTGTATGATAGACTCTTTTAAGTGCTTTCGTTATCTTTATTCCAAAGGAACATCGTTTCTTTTCTTTTCTTCTAGTTCTCCTTCCAACCATTCAGTTTCATTACGTAAAATTGAAATGCCTGTAATTGCAGTATCTCAGGTAGAGCATGGGATCGTTGAGCTAGTTGATTCAGAAAATCCCCAAATTACAGTTTTAGTGGATTGTGAAGGATTAACTCCTTTTAGAGTTCCCATGCAAATGATGAGATATTGTTCTTCCCTTTTGCAAGATCACTTCCCAAACCGTCTCGGATGTTTGTTCATCATTCGGCTTCCTCCGGTCGTTCGTCTCCTTGCCCAAACTTTTATTCAAGTAAGATTATTCCTCCATCTTTCCTTGCTGAAAATTTGATTATAAATCGATTATAAGCTCTGTATCTACGGTAATCTTGTAGTTGCCCTTAACAAAAGATTAATTTTCTTTTAGATTTTGTCACCTGTTACGCGTAAAAAGTTAAAAATTGAGGGGGAGACTACATACAAAAAGGTTTTATCGGAGTACATACAAACACTACCTAGATATCTTGGTGGCAAATGCTCCTGCTCGAAATGTTCAAATGTAGATATCCATGACATACAACGACTGGATACAACTGGGGCAGTAAACAGAGAGTTGATTACTGGAGGAATCCATGGGAATGATGCAGTTTTAGGGTCTCAGATGCATGAGTTTGATAACCACTTGCCTGGAAACTTTGATCAGATGGTAAGAACTAGCGTGATAAGCATACTTATGTTTTGGGCTTTCATTGCTGTTATTGTCAGTGCATACGATCCCGAAAATCAAATCTTTTTCCCTTGGGTCTGACTCGAAGCCAGTGACGACTGTGGGGAGCTCAAATTTTATCTACAATGTCCCAAGTTCTGCATTTTGCAGCCAGTAAAAGGAAGGATTATTCATATCATGTTTAGTAATGATATGTGGCATCAATTATAGTTCATGAATTTTGTCCTTTGAATTTTACCCTCATTTTATAGTAGAGTGCAACTTTTGTCAATAGTTGGAAGGTACTCGTATCGTAGACAGATGATGAAGATTTTCGTGTGGCGAGCTCGTCTTAAATTTCCTATGGCAGTTGATTTCGGGCAAAAGACCTTTGAAATTGAGATACTGAGATTGTGATTGAAGAATTGGAGGCAAGTTCTAATAGAAGGCTTCCCTCATTACCAAAGCGCTTACTCACTTTGGATGGATGAAAACCCTCCATGGGTGCTAAGGAAACAATTTCTTAACACATTTTGTGTATGTTTGTACTTTGTCGAATACATGTATGCGCGTGCGGAGCTTCATTTTATCGAAATTTACGAGTTTATAGACCTTGTTGGTTCAAATTAGTGAAGGAATTAATGAAACTTCGAGAGAAATTGGCATTCATAATCCAATTGGCTCTTGCTCAAAAGATTAAAGGTAATCTCAATAATAAAGCCTTTTGATTCGCTTGTCAAATATTGTTTAGTTTCATCCAAGCTCGATTTTGTCTCAACAGAAGAAAAAGCGGTTCATCAGTCACTACATCGGTGGCTAATAAATTATCTATTTATTTATTTATTTTTGTAATGGTAGTTTTCCATTCAGAAAAATAAGTTTTTGATTAAATTATAAAATTGATTTAAAATTTAGAATTAATCCTTAGTTTGATAAAATTTAAAGCTATTTATAAGGTTTGATTATTTATGAAATTTATGAAATTATAAATTTTAGAACTATCGGTATCAAATTTGGAATTTAATTAATATTTTTCGAAATTGGTTATTTATATTATTATTAATTTGTTTATTTTCATTTCGTAATTCGGGTCTTCCCGCGGCCGGGTCAAGGAATTACACCACTGCCCGCCACAACAAAAATCACATATTCATTTCCAAAGCACAATCCGTAAAGGTATCACGCGGATCGACATCCACAACCGTCGATTAATTTAAAATCCAACGGACGACGTGTTTCTCGGATGAACTTCAGGAAACCACGCGTGAGATTTGCACTTCCATAAATTCCCCACAATCGTATCAGTTTGGCATCCAAATTTAATTCAAGCTGAACTCATTCATTTCTCTGCATTATTCTCCCAATCTTCATTCTTAAAAATGTCTGGACGTGGAAAGGGCGGCAAGGGCTTGGGAAAAGGAGGAGCAAAGCGTCACAGGAAGGTTTTGAGAGATAACATTCAGGGCATTACCAAGCCTGCCATTCGCCGTTTAGCTCGTAGAGGCGGTGTGAAGCGTATCAGTGGATTAATCTATGAAGAAACCAGAGGAGTTTTGAAGATTTTCCTCGAGAATGTGATTCGCGATGCTGTGACCTATACTGAGCACGCTAGGAGGAAGACGGTGACTGCCATGGATGTGGTTTATGCATTGAAGAGGCAGGGAAGGACTTTGTATGGGTTTGGAGGTTAGGTCATAGGTTAATTTTACGAATGATTGTATATCTGAGATTTGGAAATCTAGTCATTGATGTTCTTTTAGTTTTACTCGGAAGTCGTTCATCGTTGTTCTTGCAATGAAATTTTAATTGATCGTGTACTTTACTCTTCAGTTTCTATTTACTCCCTATCTTGTCTACTCAAACTATGAGAATTTTCTCCTTATTGATCGATAGAAGTTTAAACCGGATCTAGATTGATTGTCTCTTGAGTTTCTGTTTGTTGAATTCATGTTTGAAATGAGTTTCAATTTATGATTCAACAGCTGCTATTCGACAATCATTATGATTTGAATCGATTAAAAGAGCATTTTAAAGCAGTTGGATTGTTTCTTATGCACGATCTTAGAAATACGATGGTTGGATGATTCTGCCTATCTTTTAGAAGACTAGCTAGATGATTACAACACTAGATTTCTTAATTTTTTGGTTTTTGAAATATCGTCAAGGATCTTCCATTGCCTTGAACTCGATAGAACAAGGAACGATTTGGGTTATAATTTCACGTGGAAATGGCAGATTTGTTGGTCATTTTGGAGTCTAGTTTCTTTTGTTCGACATTGTTGGGCTAGAGCACTGTTGAAGTGTTCATAGTCTAGAAGCCCCTTTTTGTTTGCAATGGCTACAGGCTTTGCAGGTTGTTTGCTATGGAGCATGGATTCAGACGTGGACTCCTTCGCCGGTGACAAAAGGTGGGCGAGGTCTGTGCTGTAAGCTTCTTCTCTGTCATCTTTTGAGATCAATCTTATCATTATTTTGTCAAACAAAACCACCTGGCTTGATTACCACCATGCGTATCTGGCCTATCTGATATCAAGAGCATGCTCTTGGGCATATATATTTGAAATGACTTTCTAAGTATTTAACATTGTTTTGATCACTTGAATAGAGAATGTCATTGCACACTAGCCTCTTGTTTGAATAGGGTTCCAAACTTTTCCCGTTTTGGAATGAATCTAACATATACTTGTCGGGTTGAAGAAGCCTCGAGCATTAGAAGTAGTAGGATCAAGGTAGCATGGCATGTTTGAAATGACTTTCTAAGTATTTAACATTGTTTTGATCACTTGAATAGAGAATGTCATTGCACACTAGCCTCTTGTTTGAATAGGGTTCCAAACCTTTCCCGTTTTGGAACGAATCTAACATATACTTGTCGGGTTGAAGAAGCCTCGAGCATTAGAAGTAGTAGGATCAAGGTAGCATGGCATGTTTGAAATGACTTTCTAAGTATTTAACATTGTTTTGATCACTTGAATAGAGAATGTCATTGCACACTAGCCTCTTGTTTGAATAGGGTTCCAAACCTTTCCCGTTTTGGAACGAATCTAACATATACTTGTCGGGTTGAAGAAGCCTCGAGCATTTCCAAACCTTTCCCGTTTTGGAACGAATCTAACATATACTTGTCGGGTTGAAGAAGCCTCGAGCATTAGAAGTAGTAGGATCAAGGTAGCATGGCATGTTTGAAATGACTTTCTAAGTATTTAACATCGTTTTGAGCACTTGAATAGAAAATGTCATTGTCATTGCTCACTAGCTTCTTGTTTGAATAGGATTCCAAACCATTCTTGTTTTGGAACGAATCTAGCATATATTTGCAAGGCTATAGAAGCCTCGGGCGTTAGAAGTAGTAGGGTCAAGGTAGTATTCCATTGGCGTTGAGCTTTCTCACCCAACTACATTCTGATCTCTTAGAAAGAGCTGCTAAATGATCGAACCTGATAGTATAGATAGCTTATATAGCTTATGTCGAGATGGTATCAGACAGAGCAATCTGATCTGCCTGGTGGGGGTGGCTCCTTTATCCTGGGTAAACAGCTTGAGCCCTACACGGTTTTTAAGCACATGATTAGGTTAGAATATTCCAAACTGATCAAAATACTAAACTCATGTAATGGCTACTCATCTTTACTTGTATCAATGTCTATTGCTTGTTATATTCTGTTGGGAAATTGGGATGCTGTTCATGGGTTCTGTTCTTATTTATTTCAAATTAGCCCATCTTAAATCCTGATTCATTTGGTGCATGTAGAATGGAAGAACTGCTGTTTTAGTCGTTATCTCCACCAATTTACTAATGTTAACTGCTGCGAACATGTGTATGGTACACACTGATGTGACCTAGTAATGAAGATGGAACCCCCACAGTTGAAAGAATGCAAAACATGCACTCCCACACACAACAAGTTGGCTACTGTAAGAATCTGCAGGGGTATTCAATATCCAGCGATGCTGAACGAGCTGCGATTTGGTGTCGAGGCACGAGGGTCATCTAGACACTTGCAGCTTTCAGCTTTCGAGGCATTTGTGTCTTCCTATGATTGTGGATTGTTAAGTCAGCTATACGATGGTGAATTCGTTCTCAAATCTTGTACACCGCCTGTCACACTATGGGAATTGACCATCCCCGAAGTTGTTACCTGAACGGTAAGAAGGGGATGCATCAAGCAAGACTAGTGACGGGAGTGAAATCGTAACTAGGTAGCCGTAGTTCTAATCTACTTGTTGAGTGGTGCTATGCTTTAGTTTTTTTTTTCTTTTTTTTTTTTGTTACATTATATCATCGGTTTTTTTTTGTTATACTATATCGTCGAGTATATAGTATAACTCGGATACTAGAATAATACATGTAAATTTAAACCTAGTTAAAGGGGATAAAATATGACTATTGGGTGAGATTTTGTAAAACATGAATTTTCAAAATAAAAATAATAATAATTTTCATTTATTATTTTATTATTTTATAAACTTAAATCTCAAATGAATTTTTTTAAATTATACATGTATTTATTTAAATTAAAATTTATATTAGCATAGTGTATCAATTAAATATAAAATTTAAAAATTTAAATACTTTTCAAGGACGAGGGGGCAACAAAATTTTGGATTCCCGCTGCCCGGCTCTGCCCGCCAAATAATCGAAAGAAATTCATTTTCCAATCACGATCCGTACAGGTTTCACGCGGATCGTGGTGTTCAACCGTCGATATCGTAGAAAATCCAACGGACAATGGGGTTCTCTTCGGAACTTCAAATCCGACTAGAATTAACACTTTCCGTATCGTATATCCCATAAATACCCCGAACCAGTAATTCTTAACATCCAACAAAAATTTTCCTGTCAATCAATTCGTTGTTCATCTCCCCGAATCTGTCGAGAAAATGTCTGGGCGTGGAAAGGGCGGCAAAGGCTTAGGAAAGGGAGGAGCAAAGCGTCACAGGAAGGTTTTAAGAGATAACATTCAGGGCATTACCAAGCCTGCCATTCGCCGTTTAGCCCGTAGAGGCGGTGTCAAGCGTATCAGTGGTTTGATCTATGAGGAAACCAGAGGTGTTTTGAAGATTTTCCTCGAGAATGTGATTCGCGATGCTGTAACCTATACCGAGCACGCTAGGAGGAAGACGGTGACTGCTATGGATGTGGTTTATGCCTTGAAAAGGCAGGGAAGGACTCTGTATGGTTTCGGAGGTTAGGTCACAGTTCGTTCTAAAAAATGGCTGTATAGTTTTGTCTCTGTTCTGCTAGTTATCTTTGTTTTTGCAAGTTGGCTTCCATTGTTTAGCAGAATTGATACTGGTTCATTGTCAAATTATGCCTTTAAGTTGTCATTCGTTTGTCCGGCTGTTTTTCTATCTCCTTCTCTTTCGCTCCAACTCGAAAATTGATTCTGTAATCCGATCTTTAAACTCCACTTGCGATCATTTCAGCTTTCTTGTATAGTTGACGGAATTTGAATTTCTTTATCGTGTACAATTCTCATGACTTAGTCGAAGAGATATTGGATCTCAGACAAGATTCAATTTAGATACTGAATGGAAGAACTATGGTATGGCTAATTTACTATGACGAACAAGCCTATATTGTTGTAATGTAGATTATACTGTTGATTTTCAATCTCCTAAGAATTATATCAAAGAATTGCGATCTTGATAGTGAGATTCTGTAATGTTAAGGATGCAGAATTAAGTGAATGTGTAAATAATTGACTGTGTTGTAAGTTGTTATCCATGTCTGTCAATGCGGCAGTTTAAGGATCATCGTTGTCTTAAATTTTTTTGGTATTGACGAACTATGATATTACAAATTCATAGTTGTTCTGGAAAACTTAGCAACGAGGAACATTCATCTGAGTGCACTTGTGAGGTTCACTTATAGTTTTACTATATTTTCAAATTACTATATCTTAATGGTCTTTTAGTACGAACAGCATTAACTCTAGGAATCTGCATATAAACAATAAGATTCTTATAGAAGAATAATCTATTGCAAGTTCCTTTTTGATTGGCTAGTCTTATACAGTATGCAATTCTGAGGTAATTTTGCTGGTCTGTTGGTATCCCTTTTGTTGGGATTGATATATTTCTTTATTTTGGTACTCAACAGTGTTAAAACATTTGATTTACTTAATGATCAGGTGGGCATGAGGTAATTTAGTTACGAGTTTTGCAGGTTGACAATATTCATCAATCTTCACTTCTGAAATCTATTGAGCTTTGGTTACGATCCTTATGAAGTGTTTTAATACTTGGCATGTGTATTGAAGCAATCTGTTGGATCGAGTAGCTAGCAGCAATTTTAGTTAAAATGATGTTAAGCCATGGTCTCCTTCCAATGGTGCTGTAAATTGAAGAGCCTTATGGGTTTTCATTTTTTATCGAGGTCTTCAAGCTTTGCAGGTTTAGCCATCCTACATTGAAGTGGATTTAGTGGGAGACTTCTTTCAGGCAATGGAATGCGTGCATGCAGGTCTGTGATCTCAACTTCTTGATATTTTTACTACTGTTCATGATTTTGATATCAACTCCTTGTTTGCTTGTATGCATTTCCTTACTAATCGTGGTTCCATTCGAAGCTTGATCGAGATCCTTACATGTGCTTTTGGGATATCATATCATATGTTGATTCTATTTTCCATTAGGCGTGGCGGATATGGGAAGGTTTTTAGTATTACCATATCTGCAAATATTTCAGATTTACCCATCTTAAGTTTGGTTATAATGGGAAGTGAATATTTATACAAGTCCCATGAAATATAAAATAGAACCTACTGCTTCTTAAGCTCAAATCTGCATTCATCAGTCTTTTCCCGTTCATGCTTTTAGCTGTGCTTACTGTTCTTATTACTCTTCCGATTGATGCAAGGTATTGAAATTAGATTATATGAAAACTTGAATCCGTAGCCTACTTAGATCTCTACTATTGTATAAATAGAGTGGTTTAGACGACTGAGAGGGAGAGAATTGTTTGGTTGATTTGGGCTTTAGATACTTAAGAGTGGGAGAGTCCAAGTACCTCAAACTACTAAGTTCATATCTACCTGGTTTATATCGTTGCAGTTCTTCGTCTTTTTATATTTCAATATCGTTTCGATTCTATCATATTTGAATGAAGTTTGATGGTTTTACCCACGGGCTTTTTGTATACTCTCTCTGTTTTCAAACCTTGCAAAACTTATCTAAAGTTTGGGTGAATCTTCAAGCCTCAAATATGTAGTAAAAAATAACTCACCTGTCAAACAAAATGTGTATTTTTTTTAGGGCTCCAGAGAAAGGAGTTGAGCCTCGATTAAGGGAAGGCTGTTTGAGGGCTCCATAGGTCTCCGGAGAGGCTCTATGGTGTACTTTGTTCGAGAGAAGGATTGGTGAGAATTGTTGAGAGAAGAGTCTCACATTGGCTAATTAAGGGGTATGAGTTTATAAGTAATGAAATACATCTCCATTGATATGAAACTAAAATCAAAACTATGAGAGCTTATGCTCAAAGTGGAGAGTCGTGGTTTCTAACATGTTATACTCAAACATATCAAAAGTAGGACGTTTGGAAACAGATTTCTATATTGCAGCTAATTTATGTAATTTGTTTTGTACAGATTTGTAAGAGTCGAGCTTCAATAGAAAGCTTAAAATTTAATTTTTCCTTTAAAGTCAAACTCTCGAGATTTTATTGAAGGTCTTAGAGACTAAAATTCGAGGTGAGACTGAAGAGAAAAAGGAGTGGAAATAGAAAGAACTTAAGAAAAATATAAAAGAAAAAAATATGGGAGTTCCGACATTTGTCATCGATTCGAATTGGAAATGGGAGTTCTGACATTTGTCAAAGAAGTAGGTATTGATGTTTATTGCCATCTTTAGACTAAGATAATTATTTCGGGAATTAGAAATAAATTACAAAAAAAATACCTGCATAAAGATGAATATACGCTCTACAAATCTCGTCATATACGATTTGTCAAGGAACCATGATCTGAGTTAAGTAGAACGAAATGATCTCGTCATATACGATTCGTCAAGGAACCATGATCTGAGTTAAGTAGAACGAAATGATCTCGTCATATACGATTCGTCAAGGAACCATGATCTCGTCATATACGATGCGTCTTCCCTCCCTCATGCGCGTCCGTACGTGCGCGTGTAACACCTTCCCAGGCGCGTGTGAGTGCGTGAGGTGCTGTTTTTAGCCCGTTCTACTTCTGATTTTCCCGAATTTCCTCCCGATTACAACTGTAACCCTATTTTTATATGAAATAGGACTTAAATAGAGAAAATCAATATTTGTATACACGCTATTGGTGTAGAAGCGCTAAACGAAGAATAGGTGTAGAAGCGCTAAACGAAGAATACGCGTCAATCAGGTAAGTCACCACATGAAACTTTAAAAAGAAATACTTGTAGGAATCGCTTGGTTATGCATGCATGCTAGTTTAATTACCTTAGGTGGTAGCTTTCCATGATTGAATGTAAGTAATTTGATTGTTAAGAGTATGGATGTATTATGTGAAGTATTATGAGAATTATCTAAGTGTTGCTATTATGTTTTAAGCTTCCGCTTTACATATATATGTTTAATTCATGCTGAAAGGAAAATGGAAACTTGTGAACTCTACGCTCCGGGAGTTGATGAATGTTATCACTCCGTTGAGCATGTATGTTTACTTTCCATGAATTTTGTATGATGATGTTGGATGATAGATGTGTGCACACTCAGTTAATTTCCATGACCCACATTTATGATAAAGTCTAGGGATTTTTGGTTAGAGCGACGAGCCACTAAGCATAGACCTAACCTTCCCTAAGAGCATAAGAAACTACCACGGTGAGCGTACTACCTCTAGAGTACCCTTGGGTTACTTGTGTGTGATTGGTGCTAATGTCTTCGTGGGAGACCAGAGGGTTCCTGATCAGGACTCGATTGCTCTAAAGTCGTTTTAGCATGGGAAACGGAAGACCCATGTTGTAAGGAACCATTTAGCTGGATGGGAATGGGGGAGGTAGCCCTCCCCAAAACAAAGGGGGATTACCATTGGACTAGGGGGTTGCAGCTCACCTCCTAGGTAAGCCACCAGTTAGTCTCATAGCCATGCCAAGGTAGCTACTCGCAGCGCACCAATTAAACACAGGTTGGCATAAGGGAACTCTTTGGATTTAAATGAAAGGACGAAGAACCAAAGAAGCCCCCAAGGAGTTAAGACTTGAACTAGATGCCCTAAAGCCAAAGAATAAGATCATGGAAGTTTGTCAAATTTTTATACTCATTTCTTTCTACTTTTTTTTTTTTTTTTTCCAGTTACCAGTTGAGGTGGAGAAGCGTTCGAGAGCTGTGCAGGCACAGAGGGGGTCGTTTCGGAGCATCAGTCCATTGTATTTCGAAACAAATCCGCCAGACATGGGACTTTTTGGGCGTCAAAGTGCTTCTCTGACAGGGATTGAACCCGCGCGTGGTGGATTCACAATCCAGCACAACTGTCGAAAATTTCTTTTTTGCCTACCTCTATCCCGATAAGCTGAAGCCAAAGCTCTTATTTTTTGTTGAGTAATAGTTCGAGTAAGTCTTGAATGAGCCCCTCGATCAAAATGAATCAGAAATTTTTTTCTACGCTGACTTTTTGATAGATAGGGAGGTTATCAGTAGTTTTTTTTCTTTTAATTATTTTCTTATTCAATTAAATATTACAAATTGAAAAAAAAAAAAATTAACATTAACATTTACTTCGTCTATATTTAGAAATTTAATTACGAAAAAACTACATTGGACAATAGCGGTCAGCTGCTGAAAATTAAAATTCGGCCTTCCCGCTGCCCGGACTCGGGAATTTTATCTTACCCGCCGAAGGAAAAAAAAAACGAGGGAATTCACGCGGATCGACCTTTTGAACCGTCGATCTTTCAAAAGATCCAACGGACAACATAATTCTTGGCTAAACTCCAAAATCAGGCTTCGAATTTCCTCATCCATAAATTGCCCGAATCCGCACGTATCGAACATCAAAATCAAAGCTCTGGACGGAGACTCACAGCGCTGTTCATTCCCCAAAATCATCGGCGACAATGTCTGGACGTGGTAAGGGAGGTAAGGGGTTGGGAAAGGGAGGAGCAAAGCGTCATAGGAAGGTTTTGAGAGATAACATTCAGGGAATTACAAAGCCCGCAATACGTCGTTTGGCTCGTAGAGGTGGCGTGAAGCGTATCAGTGGATTGATCTATGAAGAAACTCGAGGAGTTTTGAAGATTTTCCTTGAGAATGTGATTCGTGATGCTGTTACCTACACTGAGCATGCAAGGAGGAAGACGGTGACTGCTATGGATGTGGTCTATGCCTTGAAAAGGCAGGGAAGGACCTTGTACGGTTTCGGAGGTTAGATTTAGGGTTTAATTCGAAAATTTATTGTAGATCATTACTTTTGATCTGGTATTTCGTAGGCGAACTTGTTCTTATGAGTTTCTGTAAGTTAATTCCTCATCAGTTGAGAAATGACGGAATGTTTACTTCCTTGAAGATTTGTGCTATAAGAATTTCGCTTTTTCTCCTTGATTCGTCAATGAACTATGTTTCCTGATAACAGTCTATAATCTGACTGAATGAATTTGATGTATGTGTTATGTCCAAAGAAAAATGAGTTTCGGTTTCTTTTATTTACTGTATAAATGAGTTTCACTGCATTGTAAGGGTTTTGAGTCATTCAACTTTCAGCGCTGAAGTTTGAACTGATTAGAACATCAAATTTTCAAGTTTCAAATGTTTTCCACTGCATTGATGTGTGCTGTGATTGAGCCCATGATCTGACGCTTTGTTTTCTCCTATTTTTCCTCGGAGTTCATGTTCTGATTCAGAATTTGGGACTATGAACTCATCAGAAGTTCATATGAAATGTAAGAATATACGTTATTGTGCTCTGCTTGAATGGAATATAGAGTATCTGAATCTGTTGTTTCCATTGTTCTATATGTTTGGCTTTGATAACCCAGGGGAGGAAACTAATCCGTGATAGTTGTAAGCCATGAATTTTATCTGACCTGCCTGCATTATTTGAGGCTGGGGCTGCTTAGATTCATGTTGCAGGTTAACATTTAATTCCGGCAATGGCAACTAATGCTTGAAATAGCAGGTTGACCAAGAAGGCACTTCTGTAGCTGTCTTCTTTGCTAAATTTAAAATATTTTCAGGTGAGTTTTTGGGTTGCCCATTACACCACTCCGCTGGTGACTTTTCTGTTTGTGACGGGTTTGAAGATGATAATATGTTATACTTGTAACAACTCAACTCCACCGCTAATGGATGTTATCTTCTTTGGGCCTACTCTTCAAGAGCTTCCCTTCAAAGTTTTAAAAAATGTTTTCTAGGGAGAGGTTTCCACACTCTTATAAGGCAGCCTCTCCCTAGTAGACATGTTTTAAAACTGAGGATGATAGCGATACATAATGGGCCAAAGCGGATAATATTTGCTAACGGTGGGCTTGAGTTGCTACCATACTAGATTTCACTTCGGGCTGATTTTGTGATTTTGTGATGGAGCATAGAATTTCAGGTCTTGTGACTGGTTTCAATTTCTCTACTGGATCAAGCCATTAGCCATCTGTTACTGCTTACCAGGTAACATTCAGATTTCGATATACTAATGGAGCTTTAGTGATTCCTTTGTTCTTCCACTGTTTATTAGCCAATGTGATGAGGATGCCTGAGTTTTCCACTTTCCTATCTGTCTATATCTTGTTTTAACATTCAGATATTAGCCTGTGGTACTTTCACACTTCTTTTCCCCTCTAGCTTTCTACTTTAATTGTTGAAGACCTTGTCATTATAGCTTCCTCTATGTGTATGATGTTTTCATATGCTGCCTGTAAATTCCAATTCCAAGAATTGATCTCATCTTTTGCCTGCTTCCTCTCTGAGCATTATTTTGAGCTTCACTGATTCATTGGCACTTGCTTGCTTTAAGTCATGATTTTGTGCCAACACAAATGAGAGCAAAGAATGAGAGCAAAGAAGGAAGAGTTTGTCATTACAACGAGAGTTTTAAAGATTTTTTTAACTCAATCCAATTCAAATAAGGTGGCTTAACTCAAATTGTATGTATTGAGTTGGGTCATCGATTCTTTGAATACTCCTAATGATTAGCCAAAGTCTACTTTGTGTTTTCCCGACTCACCCCCTTCTGAAGTTTTTTTTTTTTTTTTTTTATCAATATTTCAATAAAAATTCCAATAACTCGAATTGTGATGTTGATGCTTTGTTGTGTGCGTACTTCATAACTCAAGCACATTGCTCTGTCTTAAAAGTACTCAAGACCATGGTCACATGTGCAGCAGGGTGAGCGTGCCTCATTCAACAATTCCAATCGAGCATACTAGGGATGCTTCAAGGCCCCTTGCTAAAGTGCTTTGTGTCATGGTAATGCTCGTCCAAGGCGTGTTGCTCAGGACCGCATGCTCATGACAACCCAAACTTTTTGTCTTTTAATGTTGGCCAAACATGAAATGACTCGAAATGTACTACAAAAGGATATGATTAGTTGTCAAATTTTTCTGCAATAGTTATATGTAAGCCATTGTCTTTTTACTTATATTTTCATATAACACAAAATTCAATTTTTCATCCCGTTTTCTAAAACCTTCTTGAACCAAAACAAGAGGCTCGAACATAGATCGTTTGGCGGTAAGCGACACAAAAAATAAATAGAATTAATTCACTTGAGAAGTAAGTTATCACACCGATCGCAATTGCCATACTTAGCACCTGGCACTGCCACTGGCAATTGTGACACTTAAGCACCTGGCCTTATTGTTCTCAATGATATCATAAAAACTCCATCCAAAGGAGGCCATCTTCGAAGACGCAGGGAATTCGGGTTTCGCAGATTCGTCAATAGTAGAGGGATTTGCCAAAGAAGAGACCATTTAAATATTATGTTGTAATATTTTCAAAAATAATAACAGAATTTTGAAATTATTAAATTAATTGCAAGAGAAAAGCGAATTTGAACAAAAATTAATTCCATTACTTGAAAATGAAACGAAGCATATACAAATCACAAGCATCTATTGGTGAAGGAAATCGACAAACCCAAAGTAGAGGACTACGAACCCTAATTTTTTTTCCAGCTTTTCAACCTAAAATCACCTAATTCTGGATTTAAGAACTTGTGAACTTAGTCACGGCCTTGGTGCCCTCAGAAACAGCGTGCTTGGCTAACTCACCGGGAAGAACAAGCCTGACAGCCGTCTGAATCTCCCGCGAAGTTATGGTTGGCTTCTTATTGTAGCGAGCCAACTTAGAAGATTCCTGAGCAAGTTTCTCGAAGATATCGTTGATGAAGCTGTTCATGATACCCATGGCCTTGCTGGAGATTCCGATGTCTGGATGAACTTGTTTCAGCACCTTGAATATGTAGATCTTGTACGTCTCTATGCTCTTCTTCGACCTCTTCTTCTTTTTGTCTCCAGCAGCAGCGCCGCTTTCCTTCGGCAGCTTCTTTCCCGCCTTGAGCTTTTTCTCCGCCGGTCCTTTCTCCGCGACTGATTTCTTCTCCTCTACCGGCTTCTCGGCGGCCGGCTTCTTCTCGGCGGGCTTCTTTTCGGCCTTAGGTGCCATCGGAAATCGCTAAATTTAACAAAGAGAGGAGAAAACTCAAAAGATCGAATTCGAATCTACTCACAGATGAATGCAGAATACCCTAAATCAAGTGCGACTTATATATTTATACGTGCCTTCAATAAATTTTGATTCGCTAACGAAGGAAGCCACAGATTGCTGAGCTGGCTTTATAAAGAACGTTCGATCATGTTTTGGATGAGAAATAAATCAACGGTCTACTAGTGGGATGACTTGAGAAAAAGTTCCCGCCTTGTCCAAACCATCTACCACGTGGCAGTCCTTTATTCGTTCTACAAGTTAGTTGCGGATTGGTGAGTTGTAATCCAGCATTGTCCAGTTCTCGACCATTTTGACGTCATATCTCTATATCATCAAAATTTAATATTTATTATTACTATTTAACCAAATCCAATGATATAATTAAGTTTAAAATATATTTAATACAAAAATTAGATATCTAAAAATAGCATTAATAATAAATAAAATTTAAACTTTTTTATTCCTCATCAAATAGCTATTTTCTATACAAAATTTAAAATGTATTAATTTTTAATTAAGACGCTTAATTTTTCAATACAAACAATTGACACAAAATAGAAAGAGGCAAAGATCCTTTCACAGTTGGGCTTGGGCCCAGTATCATGCAGCAGTCCATTTTGAATGGGCCATTCTACATTTTCAAGGCCCAATGAAATTTTCAGACCTCTTGCTCTGAGCATCGGGCACCAACCCCAAATTTTCATCGGCAAAATTCAAAACAGAGCCGAGGATCGATCGAATGAACACAAAGAGCCTTTGTTCTTGAAATTGCATCAACTGTGATCGAATCGAGAAGTCTCAGAACTCTCCCACAATCCAACGGATCTAACGAAGCAAGCCGAAACGCCGACGCCGAGTGCCGCAAAGACAGTAGGAACGAAGAAATCCAAATTGGACCGATTCACCATTTTCGCCGGCACGCACAGAACATCGCCGGGAAGGTCCAGCGGGATCCTGATGTAGCCGTCACGACCGCATGATTTGGAAAACGACGAAGATAGCGACGTCGCATTGGTGAAAATAAACACCGGAGCAAAGGAGGCCACGGCAGCTGTTAGCGTTAGTAGCACCGTCCACTTGGCGGCGGTGAGACAGAGAGGGGGATACAGAGAGAAGCGGTGGAGGATGGAGATGGCCATTGGAGAAGGAAGAAGAAAGTAAACGACAAGGCTTGTTATGCGGATGAATCTGGGTATGGCATCGAGGGGTTATTTTATTTGAAGACGGAGGGAAAATGGGTGCACGTTTAACAAACTGCCTGAGGAAGATTCTTCTCTGTTTCATTTATATCAGGTTGCCACGTTTTTTTTGAGTATCTGAAAAGGAAAAAAAGAAAAGTTTTTAGTCTCGGGAAGATCATGAGTATACAATAAGGGACAGTGTTAACGTTAAACTATACAAACTTATGTTCAAAATGAATAATATCATAATGAAAATCTTAAGTATATAAATAAAGGACACTATCGATGTAAAACTATGAAAGTTTATACTCAAAATGGACAATATATGAGTCCATAAATAAGGACACTATGGATATTAAGCTATGAAATCTTATGCTCAAAATGGACAATATCATAAAAGAAATATCCAGAGTATATAAATAAAGGATAGATACTATCGATATTAATACCGATAAATATACAAATTCATTACCAAATATAAGTGTTATGATCCCAAAAAACAAAACCCACAACTACTAATATATCACTCGAGTAAAGGAAGATTCAATTATAAATAAGGGACACTACCGACATTAATACCGATAAATATACGAATTCATTACCAAATATAGGTGTTATGATCCCAAAAAACAAAACCCACAACTATTAATGTATCACTCAAGTGAAGGAGGATTCAATTATAAATAAGGGACACTACCGACATTAATACCGATAAATATACGAATTCATTACCAAATATAAGTGTTATGATCCCAAAAAACAAAACCCACAACTATTAATGTATCACTCGAGTAAAGGAAGATTCAATTATAAATAAGGGACACTACCGACATTAATACCGATAAATATACGAATTCATTACCAAATATAAGTGTTACGATCCCAAAAAAACAAAACTCACAACTATTAATGTATCACTCAAGTAAAGGGAAGATACATGATTGAAACGAAACGACATTTGAATGAGAGTGATACTAAAGAGAGTACAGTTAAGGACTTAAAAGAATTGGAAGCTATGACACGACCTATACCTATAAGATCCAACTTCGCCGACAATGGCTCGATCATAAAAACTCTAAAATTAAAGCATGTTTAGCTAAAAAGAAAAATCTTATGCGAAGTGATCTCTTAGAAAAATTTCTAAAAAATACCGGAATAAAGACAAAAAGTGTTAAAGAATCCGGGTTAGTTTGTAAAGGTAGTCTAGACTCTTAAAAATGCTTCAAAAAAAAATATATATATATAGTATAATCATGTTGCAAAAGAAGGTCAAGACTGTGTTTCAAACCTACAATTAATCTAAAAAAAATTAAATAGATATCTATTCTTGGAGTTGGAGAAAGAGACAGAATGCACCGCGGTTACCACCCACAACATAAACTCAGTCTTTCACAGAAGACACCATAAAATTTGGAGTCTTCTGATTATATGATGCAGACAAGCTAACAAACAAAAGTATCGATCTGATGAACGACAAGTAAAAATACAAGTATTCCTTGAAAATTCAGCAATGCCAGCACTAAGATGATTCTAAGTAATAGAGTATTATTAAGGCAACAATCATGGTTATTTACGATTTCAAAATAATCAAAGAACAAGCAAGAAGAACATCTAACCCAACAAGTCTTCAAATGGCAGCCGGCAGTAGCAGCATCAGCACTTTCTTGTATCGTGTAGCAAAATTCATCTCGTGCTAGACAGATTACAGCAAAAAAAAAACACAATTAAAACCAATGTGAAATCAAATTTCTACGCCATACTTGAAAATGCCCGAGTATTCAAACAAAAACAAATCAAGATATCAAAAATCATAGCCACTGATGAGAGATCAGTTGAGAATAAGGCTACAAAAAGCCCAAGAATCTAAAACATGTATGCATAGATGAGACATCTTAATTGATCACGATGGAAAGTGTACAAAAGTTTGTGATGCAGAAAACAATCTCAATCCAGGAAGAACAAATACAAGAGCTCCAAATTCAACGGGCGAACAGTGATTTTTGATGGCAAGGAGAAAATTCCCAATGACATGATTCAGACGTCTATCAGCAAGGTCAAAAAGTAAGAGATCAACAATTTCGCTCCGAAGATCAGCCAGATAATTTTCTTTTGACGAGAAGAGACAGATGAACAAAACCACTTCTATTACAAGCACATAAAAGTAAAATTTACAAATCATAAGCATCTATATGAGAAAACTTGTAAAATCCAAAAGCTATCAAATACAAGAACGCATCATAATAGGTAAAACAGAGCTCCTAACCCTAATTTCTTAACAATCTCTTTCACCTAAAGGCAACTATCGGTATCCATTGCTTCGCCTAATTCAGATTCTAAGAACTTGTGAACTTAGTTACTGCCTTAGTACCCTCAGACACGGCGTGCTTGGCCAACTCACCGGGAAGAACAAGCCTGACGGCTGTCTGGATCTCCCTTGAAGTTATGGTAGGTTTCTTGTTGTAACGAGCCAACTTAGATGACTCCTGAGCGAGTTTCTCAAAGATATCGTTGATAAAACTATTCATGATACCCATGGCCTTGCTGGAAATACCGATGTCTGGATGAACTTGCTTCAGCACCTTGAAGATGTAGATCTTGTACGTCTCTACGCTCTTCTTCGACCTCTTCTTCTTCTTATCTCCAGAAGCAGCGGCACCGCCTTCCTTCGGAAGCTTCTTTCCAGCCTTGGGCTTTTTCTCCGCCGGAGCTTTCTCCGCGACAGATTTCTTCTCCTCGGCCGGCTTTTCGGCGGCTGGCTTCTTCTCGGCGGGTTTCTTATCTGCCTTTGGCGCCATCGAAATTTGCTGAGACAGACAACGGGCGGTGGAAAATTGAGAATCGGATTCGAGATCGATGAACAACAAGATACTAATTGCTTAGAAGAACTAGCTCGGGCTCATCAATTTATACGAGCTTTCGCTATGTTTTGATTTGCTGCGGTCGAAGCCTCAGATTGCTGACCTGTCTTAATATAATACGTTCGATCTTATTTTGGATGATCGATAAATCAACGGTCTATAAGAGGCATGACTTCAGAACAAAGTTTCCTTCTTACCCAGACCGGCCGCCACGTGGTAGTTCTTGATTCGTTGTTCATATCGGTTGCGAATTGGTGAGGTGTAACCAAGAATTGTCCAATTTAACCATTTTGCCACCAACTTTCTATATTCGTAATATAAAGTTTTTTTTAGAAAATATTCATTTTTCAGTAAATTATAAAAAATACTCTCAATTTTATAATTTGTTTTAATAATATGTATAAAATTTTAAAATTATCAATTTTATCCTAGAAAAAATAAAAATTATGACCGAACGTTAATTTTTTTTTAAATACCCTTAAATTAAAAAAAATAAAAATAAAAAATTATATTATTAAAAAACACATGTATTCGTGCTTGAAACACCATGAATATTGAACGATGAAAGAACATTTTTAGAATACACAATGGATACTTAAAAGGTCATTATTAGAAAACAAACACCATTGCAATGAGCGGTGAGAACTTTAATATGCTAGAAACACACTATTAACAGGGTTCGTATGGTGTTAATATGGGAGTATATGACTGCTGACCGAAATTATGTCTACACCCACTAGAGCTAAAATGCCCCTATATGTATCATAAGAGACGTGACTAGTCATCAATTATTTATTCTTATATTATACGTTATCAAAGTTGCAACACATTTCACTGCTCACGTTTTCTAAACATATTTTTCTCAAATATGACAAAGATGGTCGGTAAAGGTTGATACTCACAAGAATGACTTGTTCGTTAGGTTAGAATAGGTGTCGCACAATCATTGTTCGGGTGCCATAAGAGTGTAATCGTGACAAAAATGCACTAAATGACAAAATATATATATTTTAAAATATACAATATTTATTTTATTATATATATATATATAATTGTTTGAAAGATAATTTTCAAAATATATATTGAAATTGAATGGCATGGGTTTAAAAATAAATAAATATTTGATTTATTAAAAATATTTGAATCCTTAAAAAGAAGAATTTAGTTGGGTTTAAAAATAAAATTTTAGTTGTACAGGCAAATGGACGAGGCCCAATTTTAGTTTTATACAAGCAATGGAAGAGGCCGAAGAAATCACGTTGGGCTGCAATCAAAAGCTACAAATTACTTTGTTTATGGGCCCTTCTGCGGATTCGTCCAACATTCTTCAGCTTCAAATCAACAAATCACTCCCATTCCGGATCGAAGCATCAGTTCTAGCACCAAGTTTCGAGCTGGTTCCGCTCTCAGTCTCAATCATCCCCTTGATGAAGTTCATTCGATATCGCCGATCGTTGAGAACTCCGAATGTCGACGGAAGAAGATTCAGAAAGTTTTGTACATGGCGGAGGAACCTCGAAGAGAACAATGAAAACGATTCGCAGTTCGTTTACGAGATCGAGCAGATTGTTCGAGGAAAACAAAACTGGAGGATTGCCTTCAACAACGCATTAATTTCGGTTAATTTAAAGCCACACCACGTAGAAAAGGTTTTGATTCGAACACGCGACGACTCCAGGTTAGCCTTGAGATTCTTCAATTTCATGGGACTACATGGAAATTTCCATCACTCCACTGCGTCATTCTGTATTTTAATTCATTCGCTAGTTCAGAATAGTTTGTTTTGGCCTGCTTCTTCTCTGTTGCACACTGTTTTGCTCCGTGGACTAAATCCAGTTGAGATTTTTGATAATCTATTGGAGTCTTATAAGAGGTACGAATTTTCTTCGACTTCAGGTTTTGATATGTTGATTCAATATTATGTTCAAAACAAGAGAGAAAGAGATGGTGTTTTGATTATAAATCTTATGAGGGATTATGGTTTGTTCCCTGAAGTTAGAACTCTGAGTGCTTTATTAAATGCTCTTGCTCGAATTAGGAAATTCTGCCAGGTCTTGGAACTATTTGATGCCCTTGTGAATGCGGGCGTTAAGCCCGACAGTTATATTTACACGGTGGTGGTCAAATGCTTGTGTGAATTGAAGGACTTTAACAAGGCCAATGATATCATTAATCAGGCTGAGCGAAATGGGTGTGGTTTGAGCATTGTAACTTATAACGTGTTTATCCATGGGCTCTGCAAGAGCCAGCGAGTTTGGGAGGCTGTTGAGATCAAGAGATTGCTGGGTGAAAAGGGTTTGAAAGCAGATGTCGTTACTTATTGTACATTAGTGTTGGGATTGTGCAGAATCCAGGAATTCGAGGTTGGCCTGGAGGTGATGGATGAAATGATTGAGCTCGGTTATGTTCCGAGCGAAGCTCCCGTTTCAGGAGTCGTTGAGGGGTTGAGGAAAATGGGGAGTATTGAAGTTGCCTTTGAGTTGCTAAACAAAGTTGGGAAACTTGGGGTAATGCCTAACCTATTTGTTTATAATTCAATGATCAATTCACTGTGCAAAACTGGGAAATTGGACGAAGCCGAGCTGCTTTTTAGTGTAATGACTAAAAGGGGTTTGTTTCCAAATGATGTTACGTATACTATCTTGATTGATGGATTTGGAAGATCGGCCAAACTGGACGTTGCTTTCTATTACTTCAACAAAATGATCGAGTCTGGCTTAAGTGCAACTGTGTACTCGTACAATTCGCTGATAAGTGGTCAGTGCAAGTTTGGGAACATGAGAACGGCCGAGCTTCTCTTCAAGGAGATGGTCGACAAAGGATTGATACCGACAGTGGCAACTTATACTTCATTGATAAGTGGATATTGCAGAGAAGGGTTAATGCCAAAAGCATTCAGGATATATCATGAAATGACTGAAAAGGGGATTGCTCCAAATGCTTTTACCTTTACTTCTCTTATTTCTGGTCTGTGTCATATTAATAAAATGGCCGAAGCGAGTAAATTATTCGATGAAATGGTTGAACTGAACATTCTTCCAAATGAGGTGACTTATAACGTTTTGATCGAGGGGCACTGTAGGGAAGGTAACACCACGAGAGCTTTCGAATTGCTGGATGAAATGATTAAGAAGGGCTTATCACCCGACACATACACGTATAGGCCCCTAATTGCTGGCCTTTGTTCTACTGGTAGAGTTTCTGAAGCGAAGGAGTTCATAAATGACCTTCACCACGAGCATCGAAGGCTGAATGAGTTGTGTTATACCGAACTTCTGCAAGGTTTCTGCAAGGAAGGAAGAGTTAAGGAAGCGCTCGTTGCTCGCCAAGAGATGGTAGGACGTGGAATGCATATGGATCTAATAAGTTATGCTGTGCTTATCTATGGAGCTTTGAAGCAGAATGATAGAAGATTGTTTGATCTTCTAAGGGAAATGCATAGTCAAGGAATGAAACCAGATAAGGTAATATACACCACTTTGATTGATGGCTCCATCAAAGCAGGAGATCTTAGAAAGGCATTTGGATTTTGGGACATTATGATTGGTGAAGGATGCATTCCCAATTCTGTGACATACACGGCATTGGTGAACGGGTTACTCAAGGCAGGATATGTCAATGAGGCTAAACTACTTTTCAAGCGTATGCTCGTCCACGAGGCCACTCCTAATCATATAACTTACGGTTGTTTTCTCGATCACCTCACAAAAGAAGGAAATATGGAGAATGCTCTGCAACTACACAATGCAATGCTCAAAGGGACTTTAGCGAATCCCGTCACTTATAATATACTCATCCGAGGTTATTGTCAGATAGGAAAGTTTCACGAGGCAGCCCAGCTTCTCGATGGAATGATTGGAAACGGTATCGTTCCAGATTGCATTACATATTCGACATTTATCTATGAATATTGTAAGAGGGGTAATGTTACTGCGGCTGTCGAGATGTGGGAGTGTATGTTACGGAGGGGCTTGAAGCCTGATACGGTAGTATTTAACTTTCTAATACATGCTTGCTGTCTCACTGGTGAACTGGACCAGGCTTTGCGGTTGCGCAATGACATGATGTCAAGGGGTTTGAAACCAACTCGGTCGACATACTATTCCCTGATTGGTGCGAGTTGCTCAACAGGAGCCAGCTCGATGCTAGTTCAGTAGTAAGTCAACATATTATTCCCTGATTGGTGCAAGTTGCCCAGCGAGGAGCTAGCTCGATGCTAGTTCAGTAATAAGCCGACATATTATTCCTTGATTGGTGCAAGTTGCTCAGCAAGGAGCTAGCTCGATGCTAGTTCAATAGTAAGTGAGTTTGGGCTCGAAAGGAAAAGCCTAAGGAGGACAATATCGGGTAGTAGTGAGTTTGGCCATTACAAACCTCCCTTATCGAGGCACATGTTGCATCCAAAGGAGTCACTGTCTTTCTCCCGTTCTTGGTTCATATCACGAATCAATCTTCATAGTGAATTGTATGCTGTATGCTTTATACACCTAACGAAAAAACATCTTTCCATTTTTTCCCATTTTTCATTTAAATGGAAATTTTCCACCTACTCCGAAAAAAACATTATGGATAAAACATGTCTTTAGGCAATCATTTACATGTTTTTTTTATTTTTTTTTTATTTTTATAAATATATTGTCAAAAAAAAAAGTTTCATAAATTCTATAATAATAATGACAATAATAAAACATATTTAACAAATGGATTGCAAAACCAAACGTGTTTTTGTTTGTTGTTTATTGTTTATTTTTCACATTATTTGTCTTAAAATCCTTACTTAATCAAATACTAAATAAGCCATTAATTTCACTTTAATTGTCGCAATTTTGCATTTCAAAACCCTAATTATTTGCTTATTATTGTTAAATAAGATAAATAGTAAAATGGACTTAATCTAATTTACCCAAATAAATAGAAATTAATTAAAAAGACGCAAATTTCTTAATAGGGAAAACCTAGCGGGAAATTTGAAAATTTTCGATGAAAAACACAAAAGAATTAAAATCTCTATACTCGCTTTTCATTGGTCCATTCAAAAGCGCCACGGATCGGTAACATAATTCATTCACAACCGTCGACCAAATATCAATCCAACAGATCACGTTCTTCCAACACATTCGCCGGTTCCCGCTGCGTTATAAAATCAGCGGCAACTCGCAAACCTGATCCGAACCAAACCCGCCAATTTGCTTAACCATCGACTATAACTCTCCGGCGAGCAGCGGCTTCGTTCTTTTCATAGTAGGACCTTCAGGCAACATTCAATGGAGGCCAGCGGCAAGGCAAAGAAGGGCGCAGGAGGAAGAAGAGGAGGCGAGAAGAAGAAATCGGTTTCCCGTTCCGTTAAGGCCGGCTTGCAGTTCCCCGTCGGTCGTATCGCTCGTTATCTGAAGAAAGGAAGATACTCTCAGCGTGTCGGCACCGGCGCTCCGGTCTATTTAGCAGCAGTCATGGAGTATCTAGCCGCTGAGGTAATCAATTGGATCGCGATTTTCCTCTCCTTTTTTTTGTTAGATGAACAGACTCTCCACACTCAACAACCATATGATATTGTTCATTTTTTCTTTTTTGTGCTTTAACAAAATGCTTAGTACTAATAAAATTATTTTTAGATTATAAACTCATGATTAACACTTCTTTCGATTATAAATTCATGATCAACACTTTCCTTCCCCTTGAACAAAGTATGTTTTTCTTTTTTCGAGGCTGACTCCTTTGGAATCTTAATCATTTTTTATTGTCTTAGGCTTGATTTCTCTTTTTTTTTTTTTTTAGAGTTGTTTGTTTGACATTCCGGATTAAATTGGCATGAATAGCATCCCACACTTTTCATTTCTCTCATTAGAATTGCCATTTTCGCTTATCTAACTACGCGATTTACAGGTTCTTGAGTTAGCTGGAAATGCCGCTAGAGACAACAAGAAGAACAGAATCATTCCAAGGCACGTTCTATTAGCGATTAGGAACGACGAAGAACTCGGAAAATTGCTCGCCGGCGTAACCATTGCCAGTGGTGGTGTTCTTCCAAACATCAACCCGGTGCTGTTGCCGAAGAAGACGGACAAGGCTTTGAAAGAGCCGAAATCTCCATCGAAGGCCGGTAAGTCGCCGAGCAAGGTGGCTTGATCGTAGAATTACAGAGTTTGAGTTGGATGATTCTGTAATTTATGACGGTGTTTTGGATTTTGTTTGTAATGGTAGACGAAGATTAGGGATTAGGGCCTTGGAATGCAATACTGTAATCGATAATGGCTATTTAGGGATTTTCCGGCGAGGAATCAAACCAGAAGCTCTACTCGTAGTTAATCGTTAATCACAAACTTATTAATGATTGATAGTAATGAAATGGAATTAATTAAGTCAAAAAAAATGTTTTAAATGATTTATTAATTATTATTTATATAAATAACGTTTTATTCTGTTGTTATTTATAGGAAAATATATGTTCGTAGTTTTTTTAGGCGAGAAAAATATTATTGGTTTAAATATTAATGGGATATTATTAAAAGAATATTCAAATTAGAGTGGGACCCACCGTTGGGCAATTTGCTGAGGTGGCCAACTAATTGACACCAAATTTCATTTCCGTTTCAATAATGCATTGGGGAATCTTAATTAAGAGTAATAATAAATTTGTAGTAATTTTAAATAATATATTAACTATTACACGTGGCATAAAAGAAAGTGAAAAATATGTTGACGACAGGTGTCAGCATATAATTGGTCAAACTATTTCATAGGGTTCACGGTCTGGTCCCGCTAAAGAAAGGGAATAAGGTCCGAGATAAAGGTCTCTTTATAGGCGATGAGCCTCTGAACGAATTTTTTTTTCCTGTTTCTCGCTAATATCGCCAAATTAACCAACGAATCACTGTCGATCTCTCTCTAAACTCGCACGCGCCACCTTACGCGCCTCGCCGGTGACTTGGTTGTTTCTGTCTTGGAATCGGTACATTTCTCTAGCATTTTGGAGTTTTATGCCTTTCTGTATTTTGTTCGTTTATGGAGTTGGTGTTTTTTTTTTTTTTTTTTTCATTTCGGGTTGTTTTGATGATGTTTTAGGTTATTTCCAAGGGAGGCTTGTCTTTTTCTTGATCGATTTGATTGGAATTGTAATGGCTGCTCCACCTGCAAGAGCTCGGGCGGATTATGATTATCTCATAAAGCTTCTTTTAATCGGCGATAGCGGTGTGTAATTTTCTTTTCGGTTTCAAATAGAGCCTCATTTTCTAATATTTTCTTTGAGGTTGTCTCATTATGGTTTGTTGATTCGGAACGCGCGAAAATTTTCCTTTGGGAATGCTTGTTTTTCTTGGATCTGGGATCGCTCTCCCTGATCCCTCAGGTTTTTTTTGGATGATAATATCATTACTCATTGCGCTGAAATTGATTTGGTGATTGAGGAAGCTTGTTGCTGATTGGATATATTTTACACGATGTAAATTTGAACATCTTCATTTTATCGACGGCATTCTTTCTGTTGAATTGCTGATTCTGTTCGCATTGTAATGCCACCTAATGATGTTCTTTGTTTCTGTTCATTTGGTTGCTTATTCGTGCAGGTGTTGGTAAGAGTTGCCTTCTCTTACGTTTTTCAGATGGATCCTTCACCACTAGTTTTATCACTACCATTGGGTGTGTATGATCTTCAATTTTCTAGATGAATGCAAATGCCCATGTCTAGTGGGATTAAGGAAGTAAAAAGTTTACATCTGGACTAACTATGTCATTTTTTCCTCCTGCAGTATTGATTTCAAAATCAGAACCATTGAGCTTGATGGAAAGCGGATCAAGCTCCAAATTTGGGATACGGCTGGTCAAGAGCGCTTCCGTACAATCACCACAGGTATTCTTTTCCACCCTTCGTGATCATACACTTGTCTGTTGCTGGGAGGTGGAATCATGATAGATATATATAACATTGTGTTTGAATGAAATTGATTTGTGGCTCTTCTTTTCTACATCTCTGTCTAAATTGTAAATCTTTCATGGAATGGCTAATTGTTTTACCTTTAAGATTCGAGTTGAAATTGGAGTTGAGTGTCTTGGGATTGTTTGTTGAGTTGAACTTGGAGTTGAGTGTCTTGGGATTGTTTGTTGTTGCTGATCTCGTATTAGGCCTATGAATGATGATGTTTGACAGCATAGGTTGCAGTTTCTTCTTTGCTAATTGATTCTCTTTTCTTTGTTTGACAAGATGTTTGTGAGATCTCATGTCGGTTGGAGAGGGGAACGAAACATTTTTTATAAGGATGTAGAAACCTCTCCCTAACAGACGTGTTTTAAAATGTTTTTATCATGTGCTAGATTGTATCATTAGCATTAATCATCTTAACAAACATTCCAATTAGCAGAGTTTCTCAACTCTTCCGTTTGTTGTTTTCAGCTTACTACCGTGGAGCAATGGGCATTTTGCTGGTCTACGATGTAACAGATGAATCATCTTTCAACAGTAATCACCATGTTTACCATTTTTGCTTGCAGATTTTTCTTTTGGTGAATTACATTCAATCTTTGTACAAAATTTTATTGAATCCAATGTATCCTTCCATCATTTATTATGCTTTTTCCTATGTGGTGGATGGTCAAGGACGTTTGATAGACTTATGAGCTGATGTAGTACTCGCCCCTATCTCTAACAGGGCTTATGCATTCCACTCGCTATTGTATAAACGAGCGTTTTCTTCCATTTTTGTTATCATTTTGCCTACTCATTTCTTATTCTCTAACCATTTTCAGATATTAGAAATTGGATTCGCAATATCGAACAACATGCTTCTGATAACGTCAACAAAATATTGGTTGGAAACAAGGCTGACATGGATGAAAGCAAAAGGGTATGTCATATTCTGCTATAAAAGCTGAAAAGAAAGGCATAAACTGATTTTATCTCCTTGGATATTCAGTCTAGCCTAGTATCTGGAGCACAGAATATATGAAATAGATTCCAAACTATTATAAAAAATATTAGAACTATGATTCATACTTATCAGACCTCGTGGCCGGACTCCGAAAAAAGAGCTAAATGGTTATGCCACTCACCTCGTGCTTTTAATATCCTTCTCTGTCAGGCTGTGCCTAAATCCAAAGGACAAGCGCTTGCTGATGAGTATGGGATCAAATTCTTCGAAACTGTGAGTTGCTTGCTTGCTCTTCCTTTTGTCTAATTTTTCCACAAGAGTGTGTAAAGTTGGAGGCTGAAAGATATTTGCATTACAGAGTGCAAAGACAAATCTTAATGTGGAAGAAGTTTTCTTCTCAATAGCAAGGGATATAAAACAGCGTCTCTCTGATACTGATTCAAAAGCCGAGGTATTCTATTGTTATGCTATTAGATCACCCAATAATTAAGAACAACATAAGCTCTATTACCTTTTATTTTTCTGAATTCACGAACTAAAAAGTCGGGCTTTTGTTACGTTTGCTCGCAGTCGTCGACGATCAAGATTAATCAACAAGACCAGGGAGACAATGCTGGTCAGGCTGCGCAAAAATCAAGCTGCTGTGGTTCTTAAGATGATCAATCCCTTTGAAGTAGTCATGATATTGAAGCCACACTTCA